AAAACGGCATATGTCCGATTCAAAACGGAGCGTAACACCTGGGGACCTTCCCTCGTCAGATTTGACTAGATTTGACTGGGGTATGACAGGTCTTGAACAGAATTAATCTGTATTCGACTATATTGTGCCCAGTTTGACTAAATTTGACCAAAATCTGGGTAGAATTATCTTCGTTTGACTGGACTTCACTAGGATCAAGCTGCAATTTACTAGATTCGACCTAAATTTGATAAGATTAAATCAGATTTTAGTGGACTTATCCAGATTTGATCTGGATTTGACAGGATTGAGTCAAAACTTATTGGATATGACCAGATTTTACTAGATTTGACCGGGGTTTGATCTGGATTTGATCAGAGTTTGATTCGAATTTGACCAGATTTAACCCGGATTTGACCTGAACTTGACAGGTTTGAATCAGATTTTATCGAACTTGATCAGATTTGATATGGATTTGACCAGCATTTAATCGGGATTTTATCTCATAAAATAATGCGATATTTTACCCACATCTATTTGTCCTTCAACACACTGTACTAGCGCCAGCATTTAGCACGTTATTTTTATTCAAGAAAATTCTTTTGTTCTCTAACTCTATCGTATGAGCAACCGATAAACAACTGATACAAACTTTATACAACAGAGAACCTTTGATACGAGATGTTTTTTTTTTTGAAAAATTGGGGTCATTTTTTTTCTAACATTGTTCGTATTGTGTTACGATCATACATTTATTCTTCTGTTAAACAACTCAACAAAGACAAACCAATCTGCAGAACATCGAATTCGAGGGTTTCTCGAATGGTCAATTGTACCGTATAAAAACAAAGAACATCAATCATTGCGAATATACGATGCGTTCATAATGCACTTGCCAAAGGAAGATACTTTACACTAGAGTGTGGGTGTATATATCGATCTCTTGTTAGACCGATGCACACATCCACACCCATGGATTTCTTACGCTAGTTAACGCACCATCCTTGAATAATGTATTTCGATCCTGAATGTCTGATGGCAAGAGTGTGGAAATACTTTGTCTTTCATTCACAGCAGCATCCTTAACTCTTAATAAGATGAGAGCAAAACATCCTAGAAATATCTTCAGTCATGCATTATCTTTGCCTATTCTCTATTCATTAATTCTGTTGATTTATTTAATAATTTTAAAAATATTTATTATCAAATACTTTATTTATCGATTTTCCTTTGACAAGGAGAAAAAATAAGCGGAAACGAGGAAAAGAAGATGACAATAAAATAATGATATTACTATCGGTTCATTAGTGTTTCCATTTACATAAAAATCCATTATTTTCTCCAATAGAATTCATTTTTGTTTCGTATTACCAGTTGTAATAACAATTGGATTCTTTTGATCATTTAATATATTTACTCGTGAATTACGAATTGCACTCATATCATTCATAGTACGTGTGGATGGATGAATTATTATTATTCCTTCAAATGATCCTATCATACCGCAATAGATTATACTATTTTCATATTTATATCCGCAGATTAATATATCACCAAGTGGACCTCCGGGCTAAACAAGAACTTTTGATAAATGTTCGGTCGCTTTTCTAATTAATTCATCTTTTGATGTTTCCTCATCATTCAATATTGGTTGGACATACAATGATCCATAATGAAATAAAATCCATTCCACATATTCTTTATATTCGATTGTAACTACATATTCAGCAAATTTAGTAAAAAATTAACGAAATTATCTTCTTTTGATTCATCCATGTTTTGGTATTTGACCACTGATTGGACTAGAAAAAAGATATTTTATTTGTTTTGTTATGATTGAATATTAGTTTACATAAGAGCAAAATGTATGTCAAAATAATTTCAAGAATCAAAGTTTTGATCTATCATCTACTCCTGATTAGATGAAAATAGTGCTTACTGAAAGAATCTGAATCGAACTCAATTAGAATGAGTGTGAGTGTGCGTTACAAATGAATCGATTACCTGCATTGGAAACATCATTTAATAAAGGTTCATCGGTTTGTTTCTGAATTTGATGATCTGTTTTTATTTATAAAACAAGATCATCATGATGAACAACAACACCTTTGACCTAAAAGTGGAATTATTAAATCAAATGAAAATCTTTTATGATCATTTTACTTTTGAATATTTCGAAGACCATTGTTCATTACCTTCTTTATCCACACAATAGACATAAATTGATATAATTTGCGGATATTTATGAATAGAGGGTACGATTTCTCTTCCTAAACTTCCGCTAACAATAAGAATGAATCGATCATTTTCTGATGTTTGTTCAATATATTCTTGACATTGTTTAACATCATAAAATTTCCTCAAATCATTGGTTATAGAACGTAATTTTTGTTCAGTATCTCAATTCTCGTAAACATTAATATCAAGCCAAAGAAGACAGAATAGATCAAGGTGTTTACCTTCAACATTTGTATGAGAAGCTTCTTTTGATGAAGTAGACGTTCCCATGTTAATCAAAGGAACTAAATAATATAATAAGACAAATCGAAACAGTCGAATAAAACAAAGGAAAATAACCGGATCCAGTGAAGACAATTCTTTTATATAAGCGAAGCTTATCTATATTCTTTTTGTGTGATGAATGCCGAATAAGTGACATTTGTTTGTCTTCTTTGTTTCTCCTTATCAGCAGATAAATAAATTCATATGAGTACATCAAAACCAGAATATGTCAGAAAAAAAAAAGATGTTGTAAATTGTATCTCTTTTGACAAGGATATCAAAGTTGGAAAAAATCGTTAGGGATACTAGAGAAGAATCATTAAACTAGGATGTGAGTGTGGGTGAGTTGATGACAAAAAGCCGCACACACCCACATCCCACCCTAATGTTTATTAGAATGAAAGAGCTTGTCAGCGCAGCCCCTATGGAGGTAAAATGTGCACTGGTATCTTCATTCTTTCAGAAAAGGATGAGCACTACTTGTCCTAGAGTTCGTCAATACGCTGACTATGTTGACTATAGATAATGAATTTTATTGAACTGTTCAATAGTATCACACGGGAAAGATGGTATGACAAACGAAATAACTTTCCAAAATGATGCATTTTCATGAAGTTATCAACAATCGATATCTCTGATGATGTTTCACTTTCACCATCAACACAATACCAATAATCACAATAATAATAATAAAAGACAGCAAAATACAAAGTAAAACAATGGTAGGTGTACTATCGAGCAAGCACAGTGCTGTTCCTGGACAAGCTTGCAGATACGTTGCACGACATTCATCAAAGCAACTGCGACGACTCACGCAGGAACCTACTGGACCTCTAGATGTTTCGTCGCTACCATTCCGAACATCCATCTTTGACACTGAATGTTTGGAATTGACATTTTAGTCCTTCGACGAGTGTATGGCTGCGATCTAAGCTAGTAAAATAGCACATTTCCCAAGATATATCTTTGTAACTGATGTGGAAGATGACGAAGTAATTTCACAACTAACACACATCCATCGAGCAGAGGTGTCGCATGGGTGGGTTAACCCGTCCAACCCGTTGGGTTGGAGCTTCCAATGGTTAGCTTCTAACCCAATCCGGTGGGTTGGGTCGACATTTGAAAAATCTCAAAATCCACCCACCCACCCAATTTCAGATTCAAACCCTGTTCGGTTACCCAGGGTTGACCATTGAATGAACCCATGAAATTAACTCTGTTTCTATAGAATAATTATAGAAAATCTTATTTAATGAAGTTGTCGTTACGATATGGCGTATTTGATTCATCAGTGCCTTAATTTTCTTTGGTCGGTTGATCGAATGTAAGTTCGATATAAGTTATATGAAATTTGCATTCTGAAGTGTAAAATCAACTCCGACGACAGAGAGAATAAAGAGTAAAAAGACAGTAACTTTTTTTCTCTTTTTTT